AAAAAAATATTACATAAACAAATAATTTAGGTTATTTCATTATCAGTTAAAGGTCCCGGTCTTCAACGTATGGTACTTGTCGATCTACCTGGAATTATTAGTGTAAATTATTAATATTTTCTTCTTAATTTTATTTTTCTTGTTTATTCTAGACGGAAACAATAGGTATGGCAACAGATACAAAAAATGCAATTACTCGTTTGGCGAACAGTTATATGTCAAATCCGAATGCTATTATCCTTTGTATTCAAGGTATATTTAAATATTTTATTGATGTTTGCTATTTAAATACGTTTTTTTTTTCAGATGGAAGTGTTGATGCAGAACGTAGTAATGTAACAGATCTTGTTTCAAAAATGGATCCATATGGTAAAAGAACTATTTTTGTTCTAACCAAAGTCGATTTAGCTGAAGCTAATCTTCATGATACTGATCGAGTTAGTAAAGACATAAAAGATCTCATTGGATTTGATGACTTATCTTGAACTAGGATATCACATATGTGATTTTGTAGTACATCGAATGGTATATTAAAAAGAATCAAGTTTTATGAAAATTTTCATGTACTAACGAGGGAACACCCCTAGGTGAAGGTCCGCTTTTGACGTGATATTTTGCCCATATATAGGCCTTAGTGAGACTAGAAAAACACTAAAAGGGTTTGGGTTTCTGGCGTTTCCTTCTTGAGCTATGACCGTTTTAGCAAAATTTTGGCCCTATGATAGGTACTTTCGAAAAATTTCATTTTGAGGATTTTGATCTGAAATTTTGCCGGCAGTTATCTCTTATAGATACTAGATTATCCTGAAAGTTTTGACAAAAACGAATATATCCTTCTCGATATATTCAATTGGCAAAAAAATCGGCATTTGTCATACGAAAGGTACAATAATTGAGTTTCCTGTAAGTTCAATATCTCGCGAAGGATACATTCATCCTTGTCGAAACTTTCAGGATAATCTAGTATCTATAAGAGCTATCTGCCGGCAATATTTCAGATGAAAATCCTCAAAATGAAAATTTTCAAAAGTATCTACCATAAGGCCAAAATTTTGCTAAAACGGCCATAGCTCAAGAAGAAAACGCCAAAAACCCAAACCCTTTTAGTGTTTTTCTAGTCTCACTAAGGTCTATATATGGGCAAAATATCACGTCAAAGACGGAGCTTTACCTAGGGGTGTTCCCTCGTAAGGGTTCGATGCACTAGTTAAACGACTTAGGAAATATTATTAGATGAAATTCTAGAAAGAGTTCTCAGTTATCTGTAACACAATATGTTTAAGACACTAGAATATCATATAGTAAAAAAATAACTTAAACCTAAAGAAGGAGATATGACATATCAATCGATGTACGGGCATATTGCTTCACAAAACTTACATATACGTATGTTATCTTGTTTCAGGCTAAGTCACAAAATTCGGTAGAATCTTTCAAAAAATTTTAAAATAAAATTAATTTTTTTGTAATTTAGATTAAAAAAATTCTTGATGGCAAATTATTTCCAATGAAAGCTTTAGGTTACTTTGCAGTTGTCACTGGCAAAGGTTAGCATTTCACAATAGATTTAATATTATATCGAATGCATGAGAATTTAAACCGAAAAAGAAAATATTTTGATTGAAAAAAAATGTTAATCAAAGTTCTAAAACAAATAATATAAGCTAATATTCTTATTAGGAAATGCTGATGATCCAATAGAATCTATACAAAAATATGAAGAAGAATTTTTTCGAAATTCTAAATTATTTCGGTATGAAAATTTTTCTTCTATGAAATATTTTTAATTGATTTTATTTCATATATTTAAAGTGATGGAGTATTTAAAGCTACACAAACAACAACACGTAATTTAAGTTTTGCTGTTAGTGATTGTTTTTGGAAAATGGTTAAAGAAAGTGTTGAACAACAATCTGATACATTTAAAGCAACAAGATTTAATTTAGAAACTGAATGGAAAAATAGTTTTCCTAAAATACGTGAACAAGATCGAGTTTGTTTTCTTATTAAATTTCTTTTGTTTTTTTTTTAAATCGTTTTTTTTTTCTAGGATGAACTATTTGAAAAAGCTCGTGGTGAAATTCTTGATGAAGTTATTAATCTTAGTCAAATTCCTAGTCGACAATGGTAATTATTCTTTAAAACAAAAAAAAAACGAATATTTATTGTTTTTAGGGAAGAAAATTTATCAAAACATCTATGGTCAACTATGTCTAATTTTATTTTTAATGATGTTTTTATTACTGCTACTCAAACAGGATCTGTCGGGTAAATTTCTTCAACTAGAAAAAAAAAATTGTTAGTACAATCATTGTGGAATTAAAAATGTGCAACATGATATAGGTGTTTTTGTTAATCACAGGGAAATTGTTTTGTTCTTTTATTTAATCTTCCAAAAAATACGATAAGAAATTACAGAGAGATGTTATTGATATATAGCCTAGTCGGTGGCTTCTAGATGGTTCAAGTTTTTACTTCAATATTCCTTTAAGATTGTGTTTCAAAAAAAAAATATCGATATACTGGAATAAATTTTTGTTTTTCTTTTTTATTGTCTAGCGGTTTTAATACAACTGTTGATGTTAAATTACAACAATGGACTGAAAAAGAATTACCACGTCAATGTATTCATATTGGTCATCTTGTATTACTTGATGAATTTCAAGGATTAATTGAACGTGAACAAAAAAAAAGTTCATACGATTCAATTACTAATGATTTAAAAATGCAAGTTGTTCAAGCATGTCGTTCAAGACATCAATGGGATTCTAAAGCACTTGATTCACTTGTATTGATAAAATTTTATTTATTTTATATTAATATTTGTTTTTTTTATTTAAATAGAGAGTTATTCAAACTCAAGCATTACAAGATCGTAATGTACCAGATAAACAACAATGGGAATCAGCTATTAAATTTATGGAAAATGTTTTACGTAAAGAATTAGAACATGAGGAATCAGAATTATTATCAAATATGAATCAAAGTTCATGGAAGAAATTAATCGGTTTTCAAAAATCGACTATTGAAGAAAAATATCGACAACAATGTGTTAAAGAATTAGATAAAATTTTAATAAGTAGACAACAATTAGATCAAACAATAAAAGTTAATCAAGTGGTATAAAATATTTATTTAATAGGAAAATTTTAAAATATAATTCTTTTGAATTATTTGAAATGTTGAGTTTACTTTGATCAAAGAATGATATTAAGTGAAATTCAAATTTTTTGTATTAATATTAACTAAAGAAATTATTGTATGAGTTTCAAAATACATTTGACTATATTAAGTAATCAAAGAATATTCAGAACAAGTTCACTTTACTGGCCACCACCGATTTTTTGGGATTTTATGCTTCCTAAGGGATTCTTAGGCGCTGAAAGCGATAAAACAGAAGAAAAAACTTTGCGGTCAGCCCTATGTCCCCGATTTCAAGACATCAGTATATGCCCAAAGGAGGGGCTACCGGAATTTATTTTTTCCATAGGATTTATTAGGAGTTATTGACCGTATCAATATTTCAGCGCACTCTCATCTTCGTCCTCGGCCCCTGCACTCACCACCACCTTCACCCTCACCCTAAAGATATGGAAATTTATTAAAAATCTCAATAAATCCCGGTAGCTGCTAGCCCAAAGTGCTTGGACCTCCTTAACTCATTTTAAAAGGTGATCAAGAAAAAATGAGCAAAAAGTTACAAAACTATTTGGCCTTAGCCTAAACCTAAGCGTTAGCCAAAAACCCGTGTGAACAAAGCCTTTCAAAGGTATAATGACTGCCTTACCTCAACTAACCTCACCCTGACTTTCACCCTCATTTCGATGTTCTGGAAGCAACCATATATGGCCGACCGCCAAGTATTTCCTTTTGTTCTATCGTTTTCAGCACCTAAGAATCCCTTAGGAAGCATAAAAAGCAAAAAAACCGGAGGTGGCCAGTAAATTGAACTTATACCGAATATTCAATCATATGCTACTTGTATTATAATTTTGAGTAGAATATAATTCACGATAGATATAAAATCGGTCGATCTAATTTAGCTTTCCTGATTTTTTATCATATCAACTTATTTAAAACTTCTATTGATCTTCAAGTTTATTCATAGAAGATATAGAATGAAATTTTATAGGCAGTTGATCACATTAGATAATATCATTTATCTGACAGTGTGTTTATAATCAATTCTATTATTAAATACATTATGCTTCAGCGATGGCATCGATATTTATCCGAACCGAACTTCAGACTAGCTCATTACTTCTAGATCTGTCAATTCGATCTGCTTTGCTCAAATCAAATCGATACTATTACTGATCACCAAAAATTCATACCCGTTAAATCTTTAACTTAAGATTTTATTTGTAAAATATTGTAAGAGTTCAATCAAAAGATATTTTCCATATTTAATATTTGAAATATATTCGAATTATAAGAAAAGAACATCATATTATCGAAACAATTTATACAACTTAATTAAAATTTGATTTTTTATTTAGCTCCGTTCTACTCTTGATCAAGATGAATTGACTACTGTAAAAAAAAACCTTCAAGCACAAAAAATCGATGTATCCAATGACTTTGTATGATCATATATATATATTCTTATTATTTATATAAATTTTATTCTTAGATAAATGATACATGGCAACGTGTATATAAAATTTATTTTCTTAAACAAAATCTAACGACATGTGTTGATTGTCGTCGATTTTTTTATTATTATCAAAAAGGATTTTCTGATCAAGGTGTACGTAAGATGAATTGCAATTATCGATGAGAATTTCTTGATTTCCTTTTTTCTTCTGTTCTATATAGCTTGATTGTCATGAAATTGTTTTCTTTTGGCGTTTAAAACGTATGATTGAAATTACAAGTAATGCAATTCGACAACAAATATCAAATATTGAAAGTTTGTTTTAAGTGTATTTTGTTTTTTTCTTGAATTAAAGTAAATGTGATTTTTTTTTTAATGTTTAGCTCGTCGACTTGAACGAGAAGTCAAAGATATATTAGATGATTTCAGTGGAGATGAAATATTGAAAGCAAATCTTCTTAAAGGAAAAAGAATTGATTTAGCTGAAGAATTGAGTAAATTATTTTATTTCTTTAAAATAGAAAAAAAACAAAAAACATTTTGTTTTTATTTTAGAACGTGTTCGACAAGTTCAAGAAAAATTAGAAGAATTTATTGAAGCATTAAATACAGAAAAATAATCTTTTTCTTCTGTTATTTGTCGATTATTAATATCTGTTGATAAGTTTGTTCGAATTTTTCTTTTTATATATAAATATGTAGGAAAGCCCATTATCAGTCTATGTGTTCCCGTATTTTGCCTTTAGTGTGTTTGTTTTTTTTTCTTTTTTTTGCTATTCAAAGTTATTATTATTTTTTTTGATAAAAGATCAAAGAAGTCTTATCTGAACTAAATTAATTTACAACAATTCAAGATTAGAAGCTTTTCTTGATAAAAATTCACTGCCATTTTGATACATACACTTATTTAGTTTCTTTAATTTTTTATCGGGTTTTGTTTTTTAATGAAAATTGATCGATTGAATGTATAAATAAACAATTTTCATCCATGAATATTAATCTATGGATTAAATATTTGTAGTTCAATTGCGGCCATGTAAAATTTTTTTTTTCACATCATACAATTTATTCTTGTATTTTGAAATACTAGACTTTCTCAATTGCAATATTTTAAAAATGTATGTCGCAAAAAATAATAATTCAATGATAGACAATAGTTAGAACATAGAATTTGAATACAATGTACCATAAGTTGAGTCTTTGACGTTTGATCTTGATGAGAGAACATTTTTCACTTATCAATCGCTTTTGATTTTGACCTCTGTGCTTTTAAGAAAAAAAATTCAGCTCAAAAGAATTCTATCTTCATGAGATATTAAAATAACAAAAAATAACTGATATTCTATGAAAGATGCTTGAATCTTTTGTTTTTTCGGGATTTTAATAGGTCGAGAAATAAATATTCATTTGAGCTGAATTCTTCAGAGCATTTTACTGACAAATAGACCTGTCTGTAGACAATATCTCAAGTCGAAATATCAGTAAAATGCCTGTAACTCTGGACAGAAGACCTACGTAGATTAATCCTTTTGAGGTTTTTTTTTGTATCTTGCTGGACTGTACCCTATGTATAGGGGCAGAATTCAAAAACGATTACTCAGTTGAAAAAGGGTTCCTTGTAATGTGCAGTAAAATATGGAAATTCCGCTTCATTCTGAGACTTATTCATAATACAATAGATATTTACATCGAGTTCTATTAGGATTGTACAACAACATGAAATGATCTCGTAAAATATTCATGAATCTTTGTAAAACAGATATGGTTATTTCTACTACGAAATTTTAACAGCATCGAATGATCATATTAGATCACTTTTTGTTTTTACAGGAAAAGATGTTTTTCGCTTGTTAGGTTTTTTTTGAGATTTACTCTTCATTTGTCAATATAAAGAGAGAGGTCGTAGTGGATATGAGTAATTAAAATATTTGAGTACACAGCAAGCACCTTCATAACGAGTCAAACTTATCGAAGACATGAAATATACCTATGCTCTATAACTATGGTGTCTTATTACTCAGTAAGCGATATCAAAACTCAGATGAATTTTTGCATAACTGCGCTGATCCTTTGGGGTTCATATTTCTTTCAATTGTTTGAACAGTAGTTATTATTGACCAAGAAACTGTTCTATAAAGCAGTCTGAACACATAATACGATTTTTGAAAACATATGTATAAATAATCTTTAGCAACACAAAAAACCTTGAAGAAAACTAATATAAAAACAACGAATTGTTGATTGTCACAATATTAAAGCATAAACTAAATAATAATACATTTTTCTTTTGTATTGATACGAAGTCAAATGTTAATGAGATGTGAAATATGTCTTTAGACATCTATTTATCTTGCTTGTCTTTTTTTGTAAGGTGATCAAGTGGAAATCGATCATTTGAACACTTTAAATTGTATTAATGCAGAAATTCCTATAGTTTTCATATACAAAATAGCAATCAAGGAAACTGCGAGAAACGAAAAAAGCAGATTAAATATTCAATTCATTTATGATATTAATATTTTTATTTGTGCAAAAAGAAAAGATTAATTTTATCTTTGTTTTTTTTTAAATATTGTATAATGAAATAAAAAAAAAATCTAATCTTTCAATTTATATATAAAAAGTATTTTGTTTCACAAGAAAATATTTGATCAAGTTCTTGTTCTTAAAAAAGAGATTGAAAATGATAAAAATCTCTCTAATGATAACATATCAGTAAAGATTTATATAGAATATATGTTTGCAAACTTTTCTATTTGAATATCAATTGGTTGATACATAGTATTATTCATCGAACACATCGTTCTCATTTTGTCACTAATTGACTTATGAATCATCGATTGTTTTTCAAATATATTCTTCTATTGGTAAAAACCTTAAGGTTTCATTACTGGATATATATTTTTTTTTGATAAAATAGAATTTACTGCTTCCTATATACCAAAAATATATTTTTAAGTAATTCATGAAAAAAAAAAAATCTGTTATTTATTTTATGTTCATCTAACAAATGTTTTCTTGATGTGTGTTAATAATCAATCTGAATTTGTTTATAATTTAACTTAAATTGAATTATATAACAAATAATGAATGATCGATTTTTTCAATGATAAGAAGTCAAAATAACTCGAATAGTGTAACACTAATGAATTGAATATCTATTAGTCAGCATAGACCAAATGTATTCTGAGTGTCAGTATCAAACGTCTCAAACGATAGAGTCATTGTTATTCTTTCTTTACATTGAACATGGAAAATGAAATAAAAAGTGGAAAAAAATTATATAGAATGATACCGAGAGCTGGCTGCAATAGGATGACTACTGATGCTTTTTTTCTTATCGAAATCGATTAACTTCGGATTAGTTTTGAAAACGTTTTTGTCTCAGATGGAATTGTGTGATCACATGTTCCAGTACTATCATATTGAATCACAAAATCTTCATTCATATGAAACATGAATACTTATTATATTTTCAATCTTTAACAATTCGTATTAGTCTCATTATCATTCGAATGTCTACTGAAAACATAATTAAAAGAAATAAAAATTTCTTTGGTACTGCTTTGCCTAAAAGATTTATTTGACTCTATTTTACTTTCTTGTTAAGTTCTTTTAAATATTATTATTGCTTTTTTTACAACTTTTTAAAGAATACTTAGAACCATACACATGTATGGATTCATTATAATATTTTATATCAATACACGATAGAATGTTGACTAGTAGAATACTTTTATTATTAAGATTTGTCGATGATTATAAAGATAGAGAGTCCTATTCAAGTTATTTCCACATTTTTCTACAATGAATCAGACTAATTCAGGTGTGGTAAGAGTGTCTTTTCTGTTTGATATGCATTTCAAAGGTAATCAATTCTATTAATCATCATAACTTCTTATTGGTTTTTTTTTCGTTTGCACATTTTCTAGACATAGCAGTATTTCATCTATTGAAAGAAATAAATTTTATTGTTTACTTTGTAGATACAGATAAGCCATGAAATTTTAGAGTCATAAAAGTAATTATTCACAATGTTCATAGCTTGTGCTTTTCGAATCATAGTCATCTATGACATTGAAATATAAAACTGTTCTCTATGTCTTGAATTAAATAAGATGGTAATGGTCTGGATTAAGCACATCTGGATTAATAAGATGATGTTGTACAAGTAGACCCATTGTAGTTAAAGCTAGCTTTTCTTCAACAGCTGGTCCTCGATTTTGCCAATATTCACCAAATACACCATGTGAATCAGCTGGATTCAACTCAGAAACATTGAAACCATTTCGAGCAATAGCGACAGTTAATCTATGCATGTCTTGATCAGCAATCAATACAGGAATAGGACCTTGGTAATGGCTTTGATTGAATTCGTCTGCAAAGACTTGATAGGTATCTTGTGTTTTACTATTTCGATGCCTTTTACCAAAAATAGGTAAAGCAAACACAACAGCACGTACATTTCGATAAGTTGACCCATCTTCTTCCAGAACTTGTCGAATAGCGGATGCAGAAAGTGAACGTACTGTTTCATCGATTCCAATAGCTGTACCAGCAAAAATACCCAGTCCAATACCTGTTTCGACTACAACTTGTATTAGTTCATTATCACATGCTCGTAGTCGAAGTCTTGCCATTCGCATTAAATCATTTCGAAGACGATCTTTGTCTAGTTTTCCTCG